AACTTAGAATTTCACTTTTAATAACCTTATTTACATGTGCTTCACTGCTGAATGATATATTGCATTCATCCAGCCAGAAGACTTGTCCAGCACATACGGACATTCATTCCAGTGGAACATGTTTGCATCACACGTGTGCTTGCTCACTCACTCTTCGGCAGGAGCCCAGCCAGTCAGAGGTTGGAAGATGCAGAGGAGTGGGTGGCTGTCTGGTTCTGGCTATGAAGGGAATGCTGTGATTTGAACATGCACTGCAAGTTTCATTTTTTTCAGTGGGACTGGGGTGTGTTCTCAGCTTTGTGGCTTCAAGTTACAAATTACTATTGAGCAATAAACAGTATTTTGAAGTTGTTTTACATAATATCACTCATTAGGTCATGGGAAGTGTAATGTCAGGCTATAAATAAGCAACGAGAAACACCTGTTGACTTCACGAAGCTCTCTACTACTTACTGTGACCAAACTACTGTATTTAATATAAGCATAGACTTTTTGAAGAAAATAGGGGTAGGTTTCCTGCAGCTTTTTCCTACGCATTTTCTTTTTTTTTTTTCCTCTGAAACTCAGTTTGTCCTCCCTGTGTCACAGAATAAGGGTGTTGCCTCAAGCCTTGTGTAGGTAAGGATATATGTAAAGTAAATGGAACTCAAACAAACAGACAAAAAGGAATATATACAAGGAATTCATTGATGTCATGGTTTAACCCCAGCCGGCAACTATGCACCACACAGCCGAAACTAGGCCAATTGATAATAGAGCATTATCTGGGGAGGAAATCCTATTGTATAACAAGAAAAGCAATGTTGGAGACTGAAGGAGTATTGTAGTAAATCAGATGAAATATCAACAGGTAAGATACCACTGTGAATGTCATTCATATTTTGCTGACAGAAGTCTGCCATCGAATTGAAAGTAATTTGGATGAGTCTGGGGAATAGGATGCCTCTTTGCACACACACAGAAAAAGAAGTCTTTAGTTAAGAGTAGAAAGGAATAGCTAATAAATATCTTGGTTAAATTTGGGTGGAGGATTTGAAATGATAACCGAATCAACTGTTTCTTGCCTTAAAGTCTATACAAAGGATAGAAATGTTGTATTGGTGGTCTGCAGGAGGTAGAAGGGATGATTGTAATAATGTGCATATTGGGAAGTAGATGTGCCCTGATAAGTGTTGTATATATCTTGTCAATCAAATGAAGAAGCTGTAGGCATGTTAATATTAATACTTACTATTTGCGGATCAGCACCTATAGGTAAATGATACCTGACAAAGCACTGTCAGTGCACAGTAATTGTCCAGATGATTCTCTCGACTTAAAGTGGGAAAAACACAGGCAATAAAAGTCTGTGTGCATATTTTTTAAAAGAATAAGATAGGAAAAAAACATGAAGAAAAAGTTTTAAGAACGGCTTAAAGGAATAGTAGTGTGATGGAATGGGATAAATAAGTAAATTAGGAATTGTGTCTTATTTTACATGTGGAAATGTTGAACAATTACTGTAGACACAGGGTATGCTCCAAAGGAGTATTTGCATGCTAGTTTGTGTTTGGCCTGCAAATTATGTTTGATTCTCCCCCAAAGGACTAATTAAGAAACCCATCAAAATATACTGTGGAATAAATGATTTTTGAGGATTTCCCATTACTCACCTAATAAAAGTATTTTTTTTCTACAGAGATGTTACAATCTCTGTTGCAGACTGAGGAGCAGCATGGTGGGCTCTGGGTTTGTGGAAGACCAAATAAAGAGTGAATCAGAACAAGGAGGGTAGGGTAGTCTTTGCCTCCCATCCTCAGATCAGTTTTCTATTGCTTATGAGTCACATGTAAACTCTTTAAAATAAAAGTTGTAGGTTGACACTGTAAGCCTTGGAAGATGTTTGCACAATTAATATTCCTCATCATATAGGATTTATAAATATCCTATAACTTGGATTTTAAATAGACTTAAAACATGAGGATGTAGCCTAAGGTCAGCAGTACATTAATAAAGGAATACAATAGGAACGTTACTTAAGAGTTTTTACAGAGAAAAAAGGAGGAAAAATCCTGGTCTGCCACATTAACATGTGGAGTTACAGAGTCAATTAAATTTCATCTGTATAGATGAATTACCTAGGTGGGTGAGACAGTCCAACAGCTCACTGTGGCTGAAATATTACTACTTTTTCCCTCCACTTTTCCCTTTCAGCTTTCTCCTTGACTCAGACTTCATCTTCCTACTGTTTTTTTGTGTCAGCTCTGGCCTTTGTCAGACTCATAAACTGAATTAACTAGCAGAAAACTAACACCCACCCCAAGTACAGTTTTTGCCAGAATAGAAGGTTGAATAGTCTGCACAAAGAGTCTCAGGACTGCCATAGATGGGAGAAGGGAGATGGTGGACAATGTGCAAGAGCAAGGAGAAGGAGCACAAATCTATTTTAAAGTAAGCAGTCTTTCATCTTGAAATCACATCTAAAGATAATGCTTGCTCTGAGTTATCTGACAAACATGATGACCTCTGCCTCAAACATAAAAAAACATCTGTTCAAAGGAAAAATAGCTAATTTCCAGAGTTTCTACCATCCAATCAATGGGCTGCAGAATTCTCATGAATTGGAAGGGCAAATGACTGCTGAGCTGTAAGGGTCTCATCACAGGCAACTTGTGAAGAGGCAGCTCTCTTGATGAGCTTAGTTTGAGTCCCTTTGAGATCACAGATGGGCATTCTGAGTTAAAGGGGTTCCCAAAGAATCTGGTGGGCATTCAGAACTTGCCAAAGGTAAGCAACAGGATCAGCCAAGAAGAAGCAGGAGAGGAAATGGGAGGAGTGAAGAGGAATGTTCCTTTCTGGCAGCTGTGAGGTGCTGTGTGGTGCACCCCCAGTGCATTCACAGAACCACACTATGTGCCTTCTGAGGTGGAAGGCATCTCATGAGCAATCCATGACACCTCCCTACAGCACGTGCCAGTCAGAAATACTAGAGAGCTAACTCCAGAATTTTGCTTTGTATGTTTGGCAAAGAACAGGTGTCCCATGCCACATACAACATACTGCAAGATCGCTCTGTCCTATGTGATGCGCTTTAAAATCAGAGCTCAAAACAGGAGATCTGAGTGAGTAAGTGGTGTCTAAGGATGCCTAGACTGTCCAATCTCTTTAACAGTAGTAGAGACATTGTACCTAGAGGAAGTTCTTCACGGGACTGCTTTAGCATGTCACCGCTAAAAATGCTGTAACTGTGTATGTGCTTTTAACCCAGGCTATTTTAATTTTGAGATGAAATTGCACATCACATATGAGTCAGTTTTTAAGAGCTTGCAGCACTGAAAGCAGTCTTCCTCCTCCTCTCGCCTTTGTTCCCCAGATTGCCTTGCTTCCTCCTGCTGGTCAGAAAAGCACTAGTTGTGACAAAGGCCGGGGGAAGCACACAGAAGTGGAACAAAAGTGGTGATGGGGAAATGAAACCTTGTCTTTTCACAGTGATAAACGGTCCGATCTGCTCACGTTACAATGTATAATTTCACACATAGCCCTCACAGAAAGAGGCGTATGTCCTGGGCTGTGTCAAGTAACATGCTAATACATGGTACTGTTAAGAAGTGTCCAAGCCATTAGTCTGTATTCCTTGCTTTTCTATCATACTGTTTATGGGAAACAGCCCAGAAAATTCATGGCCCAGATAGAGACCTGAGACTATGTGGATGCGTGACTACGGAGTTTGATAGTGATTTTGCAAGTTATATCAACAAGATGACAGCATCTTGTGCACCAAAGAAAAATGTTATACAAAAATTTTAGCCTGGACTTGACCCTCTGAGATCAAAGACTGAAAACTGAGACCAGGACCTATGCACATCAAGTTTATTTCAAAACATGTGGAGTCAAGTACTCTGCTGCACTTGGAATAAATTATTGACAATACTGTGGGCCATATTGTAATATGGAGCAAGGAGGATTTACTAGGAATATTGTCATGGGACATTGAGGCTTGTTTGGGGCCTCTTGGCATACCTGCTTTACAAAACTAGAAATCATAATCATTAGTACTAAGTTAATTAATAATAGTCTGGTGCAGGCAATTATTTCAAAATTAACAAGATATAAGACTATTGTGTAACTTTTGGAGAACTGTTGGAGGTGATCGTAAGTTTGGTGTGCTGAGTCATACCTATATCATATAGACTGATTACTGTCAAACTGTCTTAAAAACAAGGCCTCTATCTTCCTGATTTTGTAGGATTTACTATTGTTACTTTTGAAAAGTAGAAAGCTGTGAGCTACCTAAGTGCTGTCTATATTTAAATATTCTAAGGGACACTTTCATTCCAGTACTATATTTTCACACAGTATGTAAAAGCATATGTTGATTTTAAATTTGATTGTACTCTGGAAATTTCAGTTGTGAACAGTGTTTTCTCTGTGAATTATTTAGTGTAGTACTGTACTTCCTGGCATGCATCCAAGTAAACAAAAATATGTAAACAGAATTTTGAAATTAATTAATTAGCTATTATTCATCATCACAATATACAGAATGAATATCCTATTTATTTTCCATAACCTGTGCTTTTTGCATAAAAAAGCAAGGGAATGGAGAAGTAAAGAGTAAAGTACATGAGAATTACTTAAGTAAATTTGTAATCTTTGCATTTATCAGACAATACTTTTTTTTACTGGTGCACATCTATTTCTTAATGTTTGGAACAGGAACTTTTTAAAAAATATGCCTATATTCTCATTCTTTTGTTTTAGTATAGCTAATTGTATATAAAGATTTGAATGTACTTTCATAAGCAGAAACCTTAAATGAGGATGTGACGAATCAGATAAATGGAGCTCAGTCTTTTTACTTGGGCAAGACATTTACTTGGGCAAGACATTGGAATAATCTCCCCAGGGAAGTGGGTGACCCTGCCACATTGGACACTTTTAAGACTCAGCTGGACAGGGTGCTGGGCCATCTTGTCTAAACTGTGCTCTTACCTAGAAAGATTGGACTAGATGATCCTTGAGGTCCCTTCCAACCCAGGATTCTATGATTCTATGATTATGGATGTGGGCATTAGTATTTATTGTTCAAGTGATCAGGTGTCCGCATAAATACGTGTCCCCTGTTATCTGAACATAATTATGTGCTGTCACACATCCAGAATTACTACCTAGTTTGTAATCAGATATACCTGGGGCTCCAGTGATCTAATCTGGTCTCTGTGTGTCCCTTGTGTAAAGCACCTGGGTCATACAACAGGCAGCGTACAGTTGTGGCAGGGGAAGAGCAGTGGGGACCTTGAGGAAAGAGCTTGGCAGGAAGCAGCTCCAGTTAAGTTATTCATATGGACCATCTGGAGTTAGATCACTAGACGTTGTTGTTTTGTTCAGACTGGACAAAACACTGTCTGCTTGAGTTATTAATGCAAATAGAGGCAAAACCCTCTTTCATTCATCTAAGTGTCAGAAGAGTTGTAGTTGCCAAATCCTTTTGTCTCTTAAGAGTCAGATTATGATTCCCTTAATGCTGAGTAGGATTTTCCCATTTAAAGTAGTTCTATTCATATCAATGCAATAGATAGTCATATAAATATCTACACAATTAGAGAATGATATTATCCAAAGTTGGCAAAGAGAACGAGTATTAAAAAATAATCTTACACACTTTCTCAATAGGTGGTCTTCTGGGTATAAGAAATGAGCCCTATTCCTCCAATCTGACTAGTAGCAGAAAAATCAAAATCCTGTGCAGAATCCCTGTTAGGTCAATTTAAGGAATGAGGAAAAGATGACACCAAGTTGTTTCTGTTCTTTTTTTTGAAATACACTTGTTTTTGTTTTTTTTTTTTTTTTAAATTAGCAATAATCTCCCTAAAAGCTATATTTAAGCATCAGTTGTATATCTGGAATATGCTGTGCTATGTGTAGGAGAAAAAGCCTTTTAACAGACTTTTTTAGAGGAGTAAAGGTTGGGTTTTCCTGTAATTTACAATGGAGCAATGTGAATGATGCATGTTTATTACAATCTGAGAGACGTTGTCCTATAAGGCATAAAATCTTGTTTCTGTTCTTTCTTCAGCTATTATTGTATACAGGTTGCCCTGGACCTGGAAGTGCAGCAAACTCCTAATGAAGTTCATACATGCTGGATTAAATACCATAGCAATGATTCTTGCAATTGTTTCTATGGTAGCCGTGTTTGAATACCACAATGCCAGCAACATTCCTAACATGTACAGTTTGCACAGCTGGATTGGGCTGACTGCTGTTATATTTTATTCTCTCCAGGTCAGAATCTAACTGTATTTATAAACAGGTTGTAAATTTGAATAATGTCTTGAGTAATTCACGCACAATAGGCCCTCACCAATACACTCTAACTACTGGGATACCCATTTTACATTCTGTGATTCGGCAAATTAGCACGTAAATGTGCAAATACTGGATCCTTGACTTCAAAGAAAAATATATTTTAAAGCATATTTTGTTTATTTGCTGGGATAATGGCAGTTTACTTACTATTCAGTTTTACAGTAATGTGTTTCTAAGCTCTATAAACTTCTGAAGTTAAAGCAGAAAATTTGGTTTGTTGGCAGCATATTTAAACACAGAGCTTTTATTAAGGAAGTCTCAAATGAAGTAATTGTTTTTCTTTTTTTCCAGCTATCATAACTTTAAGTATTCTTGGCCTCAAGGCTTTTGTTTATCAGCAGAACAAGTGCAGCAGGGAGCAGTGCAGATCTAAAGGATCTGACATCTGAATGAGCTACTACTGGCTAACTAGTTTTCCTGAATCAGCAAAACTTTGATAAATGTTCATGTGCATGGTTTTAACTGCTCCTATTGGCAGAGAATTAGTTATCGTAATCTAAAATGAGCTAACTTAGTAAGTTTTGCATTTGGCATAGAAGAGTAGGCATGCCCTGACACTTAGTGTTCACATACAGATGTGATGTTTCTGCATATACATTCTGAATTCCCTATATTGTGTTACTACACTATGGAAATTTATTTTGTTCCTTCAAATTGTGATTATTAATTTTTATGCCAAAACACTAAAAAGGAAAAAATAAGACTTATTTATCTGGTGATCAAGCACAGAAAATCCCCAGCTGAGGGATTTGGGTTCTGGACTTTTATCCTTCACTGCTCAGGCTAGGAGGTACAGGAAATAGCATTGAAATAGTGTTTTTAACACTTAGAAAAAAGAAAGCATATTGCAGCATTGTTGAGTATATTCTTTATAGCTGAACATCAGCTAATGAATAAGAAGGAACAGTGTTAAGATTTTTCCTTGTCTTAATAATGCAGTTATTTCTGGGAAATCTGTGCTGCCACTATATTGAGTATCAGCATTTTTTCTATGGGTTAAGATAAAGAATTGTGAGTAAGATCTTAATTCTACTTTTCATTTTGCTACTATAAACCTGATCAATGGCACTTAATGCTTTGCCTGTCTCATCAAAAGAACTGTGGTGTTACTTCCTCCAAACTGGGATATGTTTCCAGTCAGAGACTAATGTTTGTTAAGTGATGGAGCACTAGTGTTAAAAAATAGTCATAAAGTAGTATCCCTGTTAATAAGGAAGACACTTGGCATTTGCCAGAAATAGTATGTCAATCTCAGAACCAAAAAATTATTGAGGGGGGATGCCCACATAATACTATACCTACAGGAACAATAGTGTAAATATATTGTATTTAAGCCAAATGTATGTTAATACAGTATAGCACAAGGACATAAATTTAATAGGGCAAAAATGTAAAATGGAGACTGTCTCTTGGAAAGTAATGTCTCTGGAAAGAAGTACTCAAAGACGACATGAAACTCAGAATGAGTTTTCACGATGCTGTTGACAACAGGAAAAGTAAATTATCTAATAAGATATTATCTTAACCTCCATATATGGCATTGGCAAAATTAACATAAAATACTATGGAATAAACTTTTTTAAAATGTTAAACAAAAAAAAAAAAGCAAAGAAAATCTGGAAAAGTAATTTGAGAGCTGGAAAAACTGTCTTCCAGTGAAAGACTTAAAAAGCTCCCACTGTTAGCAGATCTAAAGAAGATTAAGAGATGACTTGATTATGGTGTACTAAAAAGCTTCTCAGGGAGAAAATACCAGGCTTTTTAATCCAGCATGGAAAGACAAAACAAGGACTAAGACTGGAAGTTAAAGCAAGATGAAATACAAATTCATGCATTATTTCTAATTTAGCAGCAGGAGTGAGTAACAGTAGAACAAAATAAAGAAGGGAGGCAACCTCAATATGACTGAGGAGGTCTGTGACTGAAACCATGTGACATGATGGGTTATCTTCCACCACAAAATTAGCACTAATGGGTGGACTCATTGTCATGGTTTAAACCCAACCAGCAACTAAGCACCACACAGCCACTCGGGTGGGATGGAGGAGAGACTCATAAGACTGAAAGTGAGACAACTCATGGGTTGGGCTAAAGACAGTTTAATAGGGAAAGCAAGAGCCATGCATGCAAGCAAAGCAAAACAAGGAATTCATTCACTACTTCCCATGCGCAGGCAGGTGTGCAGCCATCTCCAGGAAAGCAGGGCTCCATCACGCGTAACGGTTACTTGGGAAGACAAATGCCACCATCCTGAATGTGCCCCCCTTCCTCTCTCTTCCCCCAGCTTTATATGCTGAGCATGACATCACACGGTGTGGGATATCCCTTTGGTCAGTTGGGGTCAGGTGTCCCAGCTGTGCCCCCTCCCCACTTCTTTTGCACCCCCAGCCTGTTCACTGATGGGGTGGGATGAGAAGCAGAAAAGGCCCTGATGCTGTGTAAGCACTGCCCAGCAGTAAGGAAAACATCCCTGTGTTATCAACACTGTTTCCAGCACAAATCCAGAACATAGCCCCATGCTAGCTACTATGAAGAAAATTAACTATACCCCAGCCAAAACTAGCACACTCATGTCCCCTGCATAATTTCATACCCCCCCCCACATCCTCACTCTGTATGTGCCAACTGATTGATGTATTGAGATATAGACCATTGCCCTTCTAAAGACATGTACTTTAATTTAACCAAAACTCTAACAAGGTAAAATTATTTAGCCCACTCAAGTCAGAAGGTTAGACTGCCTTCTGATCTTCATTTCTGTGTAAATCTGTAACAGAAGCAGAGAACGGGACTTGAAGAGACTGCAAAAATGTAGTTATTCACATCTTCAATATATTACTGAATTAGTGACGCTGAAAACTTGAGCTTCCAGTACTTAGTTTGGTTGCAGTTTTAGCATTACCAATAAATTTGGACACTGATATTAGGTGGGATTATTTATAAAATATTTCATGTCTGCTTCCCAGGTGCTAATCCAGAATTACTGCTTTGGTTTTGAAGAGAACCACATTCAGAAATAAAAATGTCAATTCTTTTCAAATTTATACTTGAAGATATCTCAAAATGGAATTTTTATCATGATTTTTATTCTGCTTGAGAAGTGCAGCTTGTTTCTCATACTGCTTTAACTATGAATCTCTTTTGTGTTTAGCTTTTCTTGGGTTTCGCTGTCTTTCTACTCCCTTTTGCTCCAGTTCCTCTCCGAGCAGCTCTCATGCCAATACATGTTTATTCGGGTCTTACCATCTTTGCAACAGTGATTGCAACAGCTCTCATGGGAATCACAGAAAAGCTTATATTTTCATTGTAAGTATTTTTTTCCACTTTTTTATTAAGGTTATTAATTTCAAACTGTACTTCTGTTTGTACTTCTGTTTGCACAGAATAATAACAATCTAGTATTGGGACACTTTTTGTTTTGTTTTAAAAACACCTCCTACCTAGAATGACACTGCTGGTTTTAGATCAGGATTGTCTTTAAAACAACTGACCTTTTTTTTTTTCCCCAAAAGGAAAAATGGTGCATATAGTGCATCCCCGCCAGAGGCAACTTTTGTCAACTGTCTTGGTCTTTTGCTTGTCATATTTGGTGGACTTATTTTGTGGATGGCAAGCAGGCCCCATTGGAAGCGCCCCCCAGAAGAGAATGCTAAAGCTCTGCGGCCCACTGGAGGGAATCCTGAAGGCACAGAGGCAGAATCCACAATGACAGATGGTAGTAATGCAGATAAATCTGACCTGAGGATCAGTAGTGAAGCAGCCAGAAAACAAAACCTCAAACTTGATGAAGCAGGCCAACGATCAACTATGTAAAGAAAATACACAGAATACTGCCAACCTCCCCTGGCTCCTTCCAATTCAGTTATACTGATATATTAATAGGTTGGGGTCATATTTTCAGTATGGCTTGCTCAAAGATACTCAAGTTTTCTGCATATGAATTTAAATTCCAGTAAGTCCCAAACATGTTATATTGATACATGCTCAGTCCTCATTTAAAAAATGAGAGTGTGAATGACATCACATAGTAGGAAAATCACGTAATTGGAAAATGTTCTCCATATCACTTCTTAATTTAATGCTTATATCTCTTACAGTAATGAAAAATTAACAAGATTCAGACTAAATTTTGCTCTGAGTGATTTTGCAGGTTATGAATCAGAGCCATGAAGTATACCACAGCAGAATTTAGTTGGTCACACAATTTTTCTGGTAGTGTTTGCTTTTTTATAGTCCTGATTAACCCCCTCACTAGCTGCTAAGATCTATGGGATTTGAGGTCATTCAGCACTTTGCAGAGTTGCACCATAAAAATGTTTAGTCTAAAATTTTGACTTCAAAAAAAGAAATGAAAGTTTGCCTGAGATCTTTATTAAATGTTATGTTTCCTTTGCAAACTTTTTTTTTTTTTTTTTTTAATCAGAATGTATCTGTTGACTTTTTAACCAACTCTACCAAATATATTGTATGCAGACAACATTTGGCTTTGGATTATGTGTGATCATTACTGAAATCTAAGGAAATTGTAAGACATCTAAATGCAGAATTTATTTGGCTTATTTGGAAGGCTATAGATACACACTTAGAAAAATAAATGTAATTTAAACCAAGTCTTCTCTTTATCCCAGAAGGCTGTATTTTACTATCATTATTTGATTGCACAGTTCTATTGATTTATGGCACTAAACTAGGAATTAGGCAGTTAGAAACCAGAGAAGACTGCTAGCAGTCTCACAGAAGAAAGGAGCTTGAAGTGAGAAATGTTTCCTCCAAGAAACATCTGAGCTTTAATGATTTGGTTAAAACACTACCTGTTAATTGAAAGCCAGTCTTGGTATCTCCACACTGGTGTCAGAATCATTATCATCACAGGCATGAAGACATACTTTAGTCTATGAGCAAACTATATAAACTCTATGACTTTTTAAGTTGAAATTAAAGTGTTAATGCAGTTTGAGTCTCTACTGGCACTTTACTTTTATAGCTTTTTCTAGTAATCGGAGTATTAATGTATTATTCTCATTCCTTATTTTCACAGATATAAACAATACTTACATTTTTTACTCCTACAGAAGAATAATTATAGTAGATTATTTTGATTGCACATGTCCAAGATGATGAGCCTTTCTAGTATAATCTCTTGTAAAAGCTCAGAGCCCAGTACAAGTCTGAATTTACCACTGTTTGTATTGCAACATAGACAGTTTCAGACAGCATATAATTTCCTATTTTTAAAGACTACATACATTTTTATCTACTTCAGCTTCTTAAAATGTTTAAAGACATTAAACTTTAGCAAATATGCAATTTTTGTAGTTCAGTGTTGCATTAGTACAAATAATTTTGGTCATGAGTTATTTTGGGTCTTCTGTGACAAGCACCTGTTATTTGATTTGTAATAATATTTAATTATTTGGTGAATGCAATATAGAAAGATAGCATAGAAAATTATTTGAAAACTTTTCTGCTGTACCATTTGGTACTGAAGGACTACATCCGAGAGTTCTATATTTTCACTTACATATGTTTATGGATGACCGGGACCTGCCTAGCACTGCTTTTAAATGCCTTAGTGTAGAATTCAGGTATGACAGAAGGAATACTGTCCTACTATGTGATCGCTCCTCCAGTCCCACTATGTGCAATGGATTGGTCAGCTTTTTCCCTGTTTTTCAAGTTCCAGACAATTATCTTTCTTCTCTACAAATGTATATATTGAACATTACGTAGGAAGAGGGATTCGCAGTAGCTTCTGGAGAACACTAAAATGTGCTGTCTTCTGATCTCATTATGTTCTGCTCAACAAGCCTGCTTTTTTGGTGAAATCAGTAAGCATCTTATAGCTGGTAGATACATGTTTAGTCTTTGTCTTTGATGCTCTGTTAACACTTCTGAAGTATAACAGGTGAAGTGAATAAATGAACTCAACTCTAGTAATTTACTATGCTAGCTTCTGCACTACTGCACTCACACAGGCAATAGCATTTTAAGCTGATATGCATTGGCCTGTTCCTGTGTCTCATCCACCTGTGAAAATGAGCTCATTCAATCCTTGCATAGTACTAAGTCATCTAATAAAAGCGTGTGCTTGTGTGGAAGGTAGTCACTTGTCTAAGGATTGTTCTGGAAGAAACTCTTAACTGTACAGTATATTGGGAAAAAAATCACAAAATCTGTGATTTCTTTTGTTGCAACACTGACTTGGAGGTATTGAAATCAACAGCTTTTAGGTGAATGGTTCTATATGCTGTTAAAGTTAAGCTATAGTAACCAGTATGCCTTCTGTTTTCCATTTTATTCCATGTACTTTTCAAGAGTAATGATACTTGAAAAAGAATGGTGGCATTTCTTTACTCCTCTATTCTGATGATACAAAACTAATTGAAAATGAAGGATTAGCAACCTTTTGAGGGCAGTCTGCCAGACTATATTTTTGGTTTTCAACTTCGAGGTTAAACGTGATAGTAGAAACTCAGTGCAAGCTGGAAGATTCCATTCTGGGAAATTACCATAATCAGCAATATCTCATCTGTATGGACTGTGGGCTTCTGGATGCTTTGGTCTTTGGAAGGTCCCCATGAGATGCAGTACCTGTGACCTCCTAAACCTTGCTCAACCTTGGTGTGTGCAATTTAAAACAGACTCAACGTGTTATAGACTTTTTGGCTTCTGTTCTAAACTGATTAAAAAGGTCTTTAAGTATCCTTGCAACATAGGAGGTTAGTTCAAGTGTTGAATAAAAATACATAGGATTTTGAAGAGTAATTTTCTTGGGGAAAAAAACATGTTCCTAAAGCTGCTTCTTAAAGTGGCCTTTTATTAACTTTCCTTCCATGCAACTTTTCTTACCTGTATTTATGTGTAATAGTAGCAACAAGGGAAATAAAAGGGTATATTTTCAAAGATATAAATGGAAGGTAGAATGCTAGCTTATTTATCAGGATTTTTCTGCTTATTTGGAAATCTTCTACATTGTTGTTTTCACAGGGACATGATTGTAGAGCTTACATTCCAAATTTGGATTCCTAAAAAAAAGATAGGAAGTTACAAAACCTAACAGTAAAGGTGCTATTTTTAAAAGATGCCTGGAAAAAAAAAAGATTTTTTTAATGTATTTACATGCTGTCATGCAGTATTGCACACAGAAGCAGAACAGTGTTTTTTCCAACATTAATGAAACTGAGAAATGCAAATTAGATTTTAAAATCCAATGTACAGTAATTACATGTACACTTCTTACTACATGTAACCAGGAAGATTGCATATGATATTGTAAATATGGATTACTTGTTTACATGAATATTTTATTGAGAGACTAAAAGATACTGCCAAATATTTTCTATTTCAGAAGACTCTTTTGCTTCTATTTCAGAAAATTCCTTCCTCTGTTTCTAACTGTTCACAAGAATTTAAAGAATTATTTTATTGTTTTGTTACTCATAGTACTTTGTAGATGAAAGCAAATGTTTAATTACAATGTCTATTTTCCTTATTCTTTTTTGTATGTTAATAAAAATTATTTTTCAAGCTTATGATACCACCGAATACAGATTTGTGTTATGGTACTAAAGCACAACTTTCTAAATTTGTCAAAAGATCAAATTATTCTTATGATTACTTGTTGAAAACAAGAGGATAGTTGTACAAAATTTCTTAAATATTTCTTAATTCCAAGTATTCCTGATGATCTTCCTGATGAAATTTATGTACCCTGTAGTGTTAGAAGGATAATCAGTATATAATGGAAAGTGAAGGAATTCACTGTATAAAGAAAGAATTTGTATTTCACCTTCTGATCATAACAGAAATACCACATAGCAGTGGGAAAAAAAGCCCCAGCTATTCTCAGTCATGAGATTCCCATAGCAAATAAGGAAAGATCATAAATTCTGATGTATGACTGGTCCCTGGTAACGGATCATAGGACGAGGGGAAATGGTCTGAAGTTGCGCCAGGGCAGGTTTAGGTTAGACATTAGGAAAAATTTCTTCACAGAAAGGGTTGTCAGGCTCTGGAATGGGCTGCCCAGGGAGGTGGTCGCGTCCCCATCCCTGCAGGTATTTAAAAGAAGGGTAGATGAGGTGCTTAGTGGTGGGATGGCAGTGTTAGGTTAACGGTTGGACTTGATGATAAAGGTCTTTTCCAACCTAAATGATTCTATGATTCAAATAATGTGTTGTAAGATCCAAATACCCTCAGATAGATAATAGCCAAACTGAGTGCAGAGCAAAAGTTTTGACCTCATGGAATCTTCTGACCCAGATTTAGCATCTGCACATCAAGTTACTCATCAATAGGTTATTGATCATAAAATGCTATAAATGGCAAAACCATCTATATGAACATATCTGTAACAAGTAAGAATTAAGGTATGTTCTTGAGCTTAGTAAAATTAGTTGGAAACTATTCTAAAAGTGTAAAGCATAAACTGATTATTCCTGAGTATCATACAGCTGTTGGCTAAAACTTTCCAACATCATCATCATCATGGAAGAGTAAAAAATACTGTTATAATCACCAGGATAGCAGAAAACTTGCTGTGTTCAAACCTGACAATTCCCTGTTGCTGATAACTTCTCTTGACTGTCTTCTGTAGGCTAGATTTTTTGGGGAAACTTCTGGTAAAATAGTCCGTATTTTTTCAATATGTTGATTATTACAAAATTCAATAAAAGCTCAATTGTATTCACACTTGAAAGAAGGGATTCAACATTTTGGCCGGAGGACTGCATTTGTGTGAAGTGGTTTTTGTAAGTAGTTGATGGAACCCTTGTAACTTATGTACAGATTTTTGCATTATGTTATGGTATGATCAACACTTTTGATCTCTGTAAGACTAGTGGGCAGTAATGAAGGGTAAATTACTATATGGGAAGAGACTGAAGTCCAGGTCAAAAAAATGGATGATAACCGTTCCAAGCAATGCAGCTAACAGAAGAGAGGAGATAAAGTTGAGAAAATCCAGTTACTACTATGCACACATCAGAGCTTTTGTTGTAACAAAAATGACAAGGCCACAGCTAACTCTAATAGAAGAAGTAGAAACAACGGGTATACATTTCCATGAGCTCACTTATGTTTGCCAAATATGGTGATCATAAACTACCAACCAACATATGTTAGTGTGGGGCTTGAGTTTACAGTTGAGTCCATGGCCATGTATACTGACTATCCATTGGCTCTCTAATTCCATCTTTTGCCTATCACCAAGTCAAGCAATAGCTATAAATAGAGCTATCAGAAAATGGATAAAAGTTGTAAAAACATTTACAATTTTAATTTAAATTTCTCCTAGCATTTCATTCCAATAAAAAAAATCCATCTAGCAGTACTCAAAACCTGCAGGATATTATTCAATAGTGTGGTTAATAAGCAGATTTTCAAATATTTTTGTAGCAGATGATCCCTCTCATATATGTATACAAGCAGTAATCCACCAGGTGGCAAGCACCTCCAAAACGGCCTTTGGCAGATGCTAGTCTATCATTGCTTTAGGTTATACAACATGATGAGCCACCTGCCTTAAAACAGATTTATCAGGTTAGTAGACATAAAACACACAAGTCATGTCAGAATTTGTATCTTTAGTTTGATATTCTTCTAAAGGGCCCACTTAAAATACAGTATTTCTTCATCTCTGAGTTGGAAATCTTTCTTTATTGTGCTCTACTTTAGACTTCTTAAACTCCTGTTTGCAACTTTTGTGCGAGTACAAGCTTGGTTAAAAGATACAACAAAGAGAACACAAGAGCACAAAAGCTTAGGGATGAACTCATATACGAGATATGAAAGTAGCAAGAATTAGGAAAAAACCAGGAACTTCCAGTACTTTTGCCATTTGATCTTGCAGTCTTACATAAAATTTGACCCTGAAAAAGTGAACATTAGTGCCAATTTCAAATAACCATAAAGTTCTCCCCTCTGCCACACAGTAACAGCTTCTGTTCTTAATTTACTCTATTTGTGGATACTGACTTTGTAAGCATGTTTTCTGATATATCCCACTGAATATACCAGTTTCGGTACTACTGAAAGCTATTTTGTACATGGTACGCTAGTGCTTCTTCTTGATCTGACTCGCTTAGCTGTCCTCTCAGTCTATACTGGAAGATATTTTGTCTCCTAAAGCTAACCATGGCAGTGATTTCATGGTGTTAGTAACAGTGGGAGTACTGATGTAGACAGGGCACTGTGGTTTTTCACAAAGCTTATTCACGTTTAGGTCAACAAAGTGGCAAAATTCAGTGTAATTCGGATTCTCCAGGACATTACTCTCATTATTGCTATGACTATTGGATCTGGTAGAAATACTATGTTAAAAGACCTCTAGTATATGTATTATCCTAGCAATTCAGCTTGAGTGGTTGTTCTTTTTGTTAAAAACATCAATTGCTGTTACAGTTAAAGGATAGCTCATAGATCACTGTGGCAATGGGAGCACTAACACTGTCTGAGTACCATTTCTGAGCAGATATAGAGAAGGGGATTAAAAATGCAAGAAAATTTACACAAGTGTTCACTGCTGTTATTACTGCATCTGTAATGAGGAATTTGAACAAAAGTTCAGTAAGACATAGCCCCTGAAATCATTTTAGTCTGCCCCAAAGACAAGACTTCCAATGGGTAATAGTTTATATAATGTTTCAATTGTCAGCGGCCTGAACACACTGATAGGGCTTTTTGGCCCAGACCAGCCTTAATTGGGACCCCCACACCCATCCTCATGAGTCCAAGGACTCTAACCTGGGTGCTTCAGTCCTTGTCTGTGCCCCACTGGACCTGACTTCTGGCCTGGTTTCTGCCTGACCCCTTCACCATGGACCTGCCCAGTGACAACAGAACTCTGACCCTCACTGGGCCTGGTTATGACCTGTGGATTGACTTTCCAGCATAGCTATTGACCTCCCTTAGCACCATGAACTTGCCTGATGATGTTGAACCTGGTTGCCATTTCCATGCCTGCCCTGCTCCCAGCCAGCCCTCAGTGCTCCCTGACAGCAACCTTCTTGTACATTCAGCCTGCACTCTGAACTGGACAGATCAATCTTCATGGAGTATTTGCTGTAGACTGGCAGTGACTTCTCCATTTATAACTACTTCTTCTCTTTATATGGTTTTATGGAAATACTTTGCTTAAAATGCCTTAAAGTTACATTTTAGTTATAATTCACAAATAAAGGGTGAGGTACATGGAGTGAACAAAGATGTCTGCTGGACAGTTACTCAATAAAAAATAAAGCACTTTTTTTTCCTGCGTTTACCGAGTGATATTAAATGATACCATTGCTTCACAAGTCTCCCTACCTAGTAAGAGTAGCAGCTGGAAATGTATGAATATGCTTCTTAAAGTCTGTAGCAATGTAAAATCAAAGATAAATCTTGTCCTCACTTTATTGCATACTGCAAGCAGAGGTTGGAAGGGCCTTGCAAAACAAAACTACAGCAGCTTACAAAATGCTGCAGTAGAAGACTTCCTAGCTCTTTTGTCTGTACTGACAAGTTACACATCTGGTGACTGAAAATAATGACCGCTGCCCAGCAAAGAAGGCACCGTTATACATGGATTTGGATCAGCTGTTCTCTGCTACCAGGCAGTGGGACCCTGACAACATCACTGCAAAAGCTTGGGAAGAATTTGCCTATCCACAAGACTCAACAAAAAGCTGTATTTGGCTCAAAGAATTTGCACACAGACCTAAGCACTGCTATCCCTAAGCACTGCTATCCTATCCTCAAATAAATGAAAGTTCACAGGCAATACAGGCAGGCAGCCATTCCCATACCAACAGGGGTTCAAATTCCCCACAGTAGTGTTACTCCACTTTGAAAAAAGGTATCTTTAAGTAAGAGGGGGTTCCAGAGTTTTTAGTGGACTTCAGAGACAGTAGAGTTCAATGTTATTTCCATCTCTGACTGTACCTGTGCTCTTTTTGTACCTGCTTTTTCTACATAGTCGAGTATTCGGCACGAAATTACATACAGTGCTCATTTTTATTTCTTCCCTCATAAGCCTACACCGGTCACCGGGGAGTTTTGCATACTCTGTCTGAGCCTCCTTGGAATTTTCAATTGTTACTCAGGTACTAATGCAGAAATGAATATAGGAACCTCTATCAGGAAATCTACACATGGTTTGAGCTGTTCACAGCAATGCCCAAGGTCTCCTTCCCAAGCTAAGAGGTGTGAAGAGTTCCTGTGAAGTGTTCAGACCTTTTTTTTTGTTTTACTAACATTAAACTTTCCAAGCCACTGAGTCAGGTGTGCTCCATTCACTAAATAACATTTCTTTCTTATTCCAAACTCCCTTCTCCAGTTCTCCTAAGGACATTTTATTCCTAACTCTGTATTCCCTGAATCTTTGGTCTAGCAAACAAAATCTTTAGACCTCTGAGTA